TTCTCTATTACTTTTTAAATTTAATTTTCTATTTGTATTTTTATTTAGACTAAAAAATTTAATTCAAATTCTTGAAATTTTAAAATATTTGTACTATTTAGTATGCGATACGCGTGCATCGCACGTGTTTAAAAAATATATCTACATAAAATGTGAAATAGAACTTGGAATATTAATAAGATACACCTAAAAGTAATAATGGCTATAAAAGTTAAATCACATGTAAACTGTAATGTACCATGGTGTAATTATTATTGGCGAAATGGTCTGATGAACCCTTATACTTGTGTGAGTTTGTATTCTGGACCCTTCTACTCAACCCTTTACCAACTGAACCCCTAAACCTATTGAAACTTGATATTTTAAACCCTTTTTTTGACTTGTCATCCTATGTGGCATTTTTGTTCAAAGTGTGTGTGATACACATATTTTAAGAGCGTGAAGTCTTCAAAAAAAATTGAAAATGTCAAGTTTTAATCTAACTAAGAGTCATCTTCATCCCCATTTATTCATTTACCATTGTTGGACAAAAAAAAAAGCTTTTTTTTGGAGGGTTTTCTACTCATCTCCAAATTTCTTTCATTGTTTCAAACAAATAAATGGACTTATCGATCCTATTCTTCAACAAGTATTTCGTTTCCTCCGAACTTAACATCGCCGGAGCCATTAACCACACCAATTTCTGCAAATCTTCAGAACACAAAATCCTTTCTTAAATAAACAAATTATAAAAAGCTAAAATGTTAAACTAATCCAAAATTATAAAGAGGGGAAGAAAAAAAAAGAAACATGAAAAACATAAGTTAGAAATCAACTTGTTTTCCAAAAAAATATTTTCTAGGAAAACCTTTTCCTTTGTACCAAACACACTTAACCTACTAAGATTCCCCAAACGAATACACCTATAACATAAAGCAGTTTGCATTTTACCCCATTTCAGCCGATTAATTTCAATTCAACTAACGTTGGATCGATCAATAATTCACTCATTTATTAATTCAATTGATTTTAATTTGCTCAAATTCAATCTTACCCGTTTATTTGATACCTCCCATTTAATCTAAAGTTCATAGAATTTTAACTTTTCTATGAGTTCCATTAAACAACACCAATCTAGTTCTACATTGTACTATTTTTGAATGACACAATCGATCGATGAAATCAAAATGGACTACTATAGTCTATTACACAATATATTTTGCTCCAATTGTTTACCAATTAATTTTCACTGTGTGTTATTCACAACAATCATAACCATTTACTTCCAATTCAATTAAATGGCAAAAAAATTAAATATTTTTCTTATAAGTTTTTTTTTTCTTCAAAAGATAGGCTAAAACTAATTGCAAAATTCTTATCTCACTTTTGGACGGCTTTGTAGTGTACTTTTAAAATCGAATTAAAAATTTGTGTCAGGCTACAAACATATACGTGGGATATTTTTTTAAAGTAAATTTATTGTAACTCTTCTATTTAATGTTTCTTAAACAAAAATAAAATAAAATTGAGAAGACATGATATTACATCTACAAACTTCCATTTAAACTAGTGACGAGGACGTGAATATTATATTTTTCAACGAATAAATCGAATTTATTATAAGTTAGAGTTTTATTCTTGCAAACATGCATTTTTAAAAATCATTTTGTTTGTAAATTTTCATAAATTTACTATAATTATCAATCGTTCCACTATGTAGTTAAACCCATATTGTGTTAAGCTTATATTGTTATTTTATATTTAATGATAAATAGTTTAAAGATGTAACATATTTTTCATATAAAACGATAAAAAAGATACCTTTCATTAATTCATGAAAATTAAATGTGTTTAGTCATATTAACAATGTTCTCAAAACTTGATCGTGTTGGGGGAGGATCTCAACGCAGGACGTATCAAAATGCTCCAGAGCTCAAATAAAAGATATACAACCTCAAATAGGGACCACTAATTTAAATTGAAAGAAAGTTATTATACAACCTCAAATCGGAACCTCTAATCTAAATTGGAAAAAAGTTATTGACTTATCGATAATGAGTTATTGATTTAGTGATTTCAGTAGCGGTTTTGATCATTTTTTTTTTATATTGGGTTATCAGTTTTTAACGGTTTGAGGTTTTTTCATTAATAAGTTAATCGATGACGCGATAGTAAATTAATAAATTATATTTATATTATTTGGTATATAAAGTCATTGACTTGGTGTTTGGTTTCATACTTCATTTCTCACTGCCTCAAAAATTCGATTATACTACAAGATATCAGTACTTGCTTTTGAGGAAGATGCTATCTCTCAACTCATTTCATTTGGTTAGTCAACTTATTTCTAAGACAAATCGATAAATTAATAGTTCTATAACAATTTAACATAATTACAAGTCGATAACCGATAATCAATAAGTCAAATTAATAAACTTTAAAATCAAATCAACCGAAATAATTACTCTAAACAGAGATTAATTAATGATGGGACACGTCTTTGAGATGATGAATTTATTAAGTATTTACTAATAGGAGTTGTTAATTAAAACTAATTATATAGCTAGCACTCGTGCAATTCCAGATTTGCCTCTTTAAATATTCATTTGGTGTCAGTTAATTATTGCCTGCCAGCTACAAGGGGAGAAGCAATTTATTTGTTGCGATACTATTAATTTAATACGATAATACATACTCTTTTATGGTTTAGGTTCGAAATATGTACATAGAAAAAATAAAACAAAAATGTATGTACTTATGTCTTATATTTGCATTATAATTGTAATGACAAAATAAGTTATTTAAACTCGAAGTTCAAAACATGCATAAAATTATTAATTGAATGCCATTTCAAATTAGAGAACTATTATAAATGATTTGATTTTGCAGAAATAATCTCTTATGTCCATTTATAAATTAAATAGAAGAAAATAATATTTTCAAATTTTTTATTTAAAGAGAGAAACTATGATAAAAAGTTACAAAGACTAAATTTCGATTTTTAACTTAAATTTCCATTCCATTAATTAATTGTTTGGAATTTGGAAATTAATTACCACCAAATCAACCATATCGTGCAGCAGCTAGCACGTGAATACTGTCGACTAATTTTCATTAACTTCAAGTTGACTTCATTAAATTCTTAATTACTTATCTTCTTTATATTGGTAACAAAAAAAATTTATAAATATTATATCGTTTATAAAAAATTCTGCGTACCTCATAAAATTTCTCAAGTTAATATAGCACCTATGGTATGGAAAAGCTTGGATGATTTAATACGTAATTATTTTAGATTTTTGAGACTTCTCAAAGCAAAAAAAACAATTTCAATGAAAAGATGCTTTATTGTTATTCTTTGTTAATGGAAAAAATAATGTTTGAAAACCTTAGGATGTTTTTAGTAGGGAAGAAAATATTTTTTGAAATTGGTTTCTTTACTTTTCTTGTGTTTGATTAGTTATTCAAGCGATTAGGTGATAAACACTTATTCACATCAAATATTTATATTTAATAATAACAAGTATTTTCATATTTATTTCTATAGCTTAATCATGAATAATAACAATACATTATCACTTCATCAAAGAGTCACTAAACTATTATAAGTCAAACCGACTTGATATAACACTTTATATGAGTTTCTTTGAATTGGCGAAGTCAAAAGGATAAATACATATAATGATCCAATTTATTTTTAATCATTAATTTAAAATCTAAGGAGATTTATTAACCCATTCCAAACATGAAAAAAAAATTATTTTTTCAAACTACAAAAATTAGATAAAATGACATTTACTCTAAAATTTATTATTTTATTCGTCTCATTTATGTGGCACTTCAAATTTTGAAATTTAAATAAATAATTTTCTTAGTGTGATTTTTTTTGTAATATATCTTAAATTATAATTAATAATATTTTCATATATTTTTAAATATATAAATTTTATTTTAAAAATTCTTGTATTTACGATTAAAAAAAAATTATTTGACTCCAAGCCGCATAAAAAATTAGGACATGAGCCTATATTGTCTTTTTTTGTCCAGTAAAAAAGAGTATGCGCATATATAGGACAAAAGCCTCCCCCACCCCCACTCACCCACACACAAATTTTGTCTGATATGAAAGAAGTATTAAAAATATCTTTGAATTTAAATTATTAGTTTCGTCTTCATATTATCAATAGTTTTAAAAAACATTTTTTTACTTGATGAATTAAACTTAGATACACTCTTGATATGCCATATGACATAGTAAATTATCTCAAACTCATGTAGGAACATGAAACTCTTAATAGTCGAGAGAAGTTTTGAAAACACTTCTAAACTTGATGAGAATTTGAGTGTGTATTTTACTCATGTTGCAGAATCAAGGGTGAATTTAAGTTCAATCTGTCTAACAAAAAAGTGTTTTTAAAGCTGTTAATAGTTTTACACATGAAACTAATAATTTTATGAGTGTTTTCAATAGTTCTCTCTTTATTTTTAGAGAGAAGTATCGAAAATCCCCTTGAACTCGAAGTAAATTATTAGTTTCATTTTCACACTATTGACAGCTTTAAAAACACATCCATACTTGACTATCTCAATTTAGATACATCTCGATCGGTCTCAAAGTCTTGTAAAAACATGAAACGCTTAATCAAAAGCCAAAAGAAGTGTTGAAAATATTTTTAAAATATATTTCACTCATGTTATCCAATCAAGAGTGTATTTAAGTTCAATTAATCAAATAAAATAATATTTTTAAGATTGTAATTAATTCAGGATGAAACTAATCGTCACTTCTCTCTTTGTTTTTACTTTGTCCTCTAAAATTAAAGATAAAATCCATTTGAATCGGCCATCGGAATGTTCAAATGATTCCTCCGCCGGTGAAATCATTAATTTTACTTTTTTTCAAAAGTCCATTTTCAAACAGTAGAGAAAATATATACTACTAATTTTTAAATTTCAGACACTATTATTAGTACCTATTCAAATACAAATTCATCACTTTAATTTCTCAAAAAGAAGAAAAAAAAAAACTCTCAAATTCACCTTCGTCTCCATTTTAAATTTCTCATTATCATTCATTCATTTCGATTCTCTAAGCTCACAAATTATTTTCGAGATTCCGAAATTTCAAAGGTTAAAATGGAGCCACCGGGAAACGACGTCGTTGCGTTTGAGTCAGCTGAGAAGATAATACTCCGGTGGGATTCCACGGCGTCGGAAGATGCTAGAGAGAAGATGATCTTCGCCGGAGATCGATATGAGATCGAGCGGTACTTGCAAGCTGTTGATGAAATCCAACGGTCGATGGAGTTTGCTACACTTTCCGATGACCAGAACAAAGCTAATAGTGCGATCCAGATCGCTATGGCTCGGCTTGAAGATGAGTTTCGGAATATACTCATAGCTCATACGACTCCTATGGAAGCTGAATCTCTTACTGACAGTAGTCCTTTGCCTGAAGAAGACTACGAGGATGACTCGCCGTTGACCAAGGACTTGGAGCATCAAGAGAGTAACAGCAGCTGTAGTTATCGACCTACAAATAGCATTCGTGAAATCGATCTAATGCCTTCTGATGCAATTTATGATCTCCGATGCATCGCCGAGCGAATGATTTTGGCCGGATATCTTCGGGAGTGTATTCAGGTGTATGGCAGTGTACGGAAGTCTGCAGTGGACTCGAGTTTCCGCAAGCTTGGGATAGAGAAGCTGAGTATCGGAGATATCCAGAGATTAGAATGGGAAATTCTAGAAACGAAGATCCGGCGGTGGATACGAGCTGCAAAAGTATGCGTTCGGATACTTTTCGCTAGTGAGAAGAAACTCTGTGAGCAAATCTTCGAAGGTTTAGGTACTGGCACGGACGATGCTTGTTTCATGGAGACTATCAAAGGTCCAGCTATTCAGCTATTCAATTTTGCTGAAGCCATTAGCATTAGTCGGAGATCACCGGAGAAGTTGTTTAAGATATTGGATCTTCATGATGCTTTATCGGATTTACTAGTGGACATTGAGATTGTTTTCGATTCAAAATCTTCGGAGTCAATTAGGGTTCAAGCTGTAGAGATACTATCTAGGTTAGCGGAGGCTGCAAGAGGGATATTATCTGAATTTGAAAATGCAGTGCTTCGAGAACCTTCCAAGGTTCCTGTACCTGGAGGGACAATTCATCCCTTGACTAGGTATGTTATGAACTACATAAGTTTAATCTCAGACTACAAACAGACCATGTCTGAATTGATTGTCTCAAAGCCATCAACAGGGTCAAGGTATTCGAGTGATCCTAACACTCCTGATATGGATTTTGCGGAGTTAGAATCACAGACCCCGTTGGCGCTGCATTTGATCTGGATTGCTGTGATTTTGCAGTTCAATTTGGAAGGTAAGTCTAAGTGCTATAGAGATACTTCATTGACACATATATTTATGATGAACAATGTACATTATATTGTCCAGAAGATTAAAGGGTCACCTGAGCTAAGGGAGATGGTAGGGGATGATTGTTTAAGGAAATTAACAGGGAAATTTAGGCAAGCAGCTACCAACTACCAGAGATCAACCTGGGTTAATGTTTTGCATTGCTTGCGAGATGAGGGTTTACATGTTAAAGGCAGTTTTTCATCTGGGGTGTCTAAGAGTGCGTTGAGAGAGCGGTTTAAGACCTTCAATGCTATGTTTGAAGAGGTACATAGGACTCAGTCCACCTGGTTGATACCGGATACCCAGCTCCGAGAGGAGCTGCGTATTTCTGTATCTGAGAAGTTGATCCCAGCTTATAGATCATTTCTCGGAAGGTTCAGGAGTCATATTGAGAGTGGGAGGCATCCAGAAAACTATATCAAGTATTCCGGTGAGGACATTGAGACTGCTGTCTTGGATTTCTTCGAGGGGTACCAAGTTTCACAACACATAAGAAGAAGATCTGAATGAAAGGATATAAATTCCACTAATTAGAACCTTAGGACATTCTTTGAATTTTTTTCTGGAGTCATTTAGGAGGAGCTGAGGTTCTGGAGTTAAGGTATTGTCGGGCAAAGCAGAAAATTTTGGTAAGATCAGCTGTATCTATGATAGTCTCCGCCTCTGCCTAAATGCTCCTGCCCTGTAAGCGCGGTGTTGTTGTATTTCTTCCATATGCTAGATTTTATTTCATTTTGTCCATATCTGAATTGGTGCATTTGGTTTTTACTCAGAAATTTTTGTGCCATCAAGATCACGAGTACATAGTTTCGTTTATCCTTGCAGGTCACCCTCTAAGCCCATGCATCTTATCAGGTGCTTAATATAATTTGAACATTGAAGGCAACATTTCTAAGGTCAATATCCCTAACAACTGATTACTTTGTATCAAACTTGATTTCAAAATTACATTAACAATATCATAGTTTATGGTATTCCCTTGCTTCTTCTGAGCCGAGGGTAAGGTTTGCGTACATCCTACCCTCCTCAGACCCCACTTGTGGGATTACACTAGGTATATTGTTGTTATTGCATAGTATTTCCCTTGATTTATTCTTACTGCTTACAAGTTAAGGTCTTAATCAGTGAAATGAAAGCAGTTCTTGATGATTTTCCAACTATAACACTGGAAGTTGTTGCAGTATGACAATTTGCTGATGTATTTGGTAAAGCACCATACAGAACTATTGGAGCTTTTTGCTTAGCTGTGACTTGTGCCCTTTTACTGATAGGGACATAGGGTAAGTAGTGCTTATACTTTACAAAAAACAATAAAAGAAGGATAAGTGGTGCTTATTAGCTGTTTACCAATCACTTTAAATGTTTAATACTCTCAAACATGAATGCTTACCTTATCTCATAAAAAGAAGAATAATTGAAACTCTTGTAATTTGCTAAAGCTAGAACACAATATAAGTGGATACTTCCTGCCTGCTTTTACTTGAGCATTGTGTTAATTTGCTCTCTGTAGTGCTTCAGATTGTTAGTTTACCCTTTGTAAGTATATCATTTGCAGTTGCAATCTTTCCACATATCTTCATTTTACATCGTATTCATCGTGTCTCTGTAACGTGCCCTATACACAAGAGTTCTAGCTAGTCTTTCCTAACATGATTTTTTTTCGAATTCTTCTTCCGTTCATTTGAAAGGTCAAATAAGGGTGACACTTCGATTCATCAATGTTCAATTTTCAATGGTCTAAGTTTGTCTTCAGCCGCCAATTACAAGAGATGTAATGGTCCACGAAGATTCAAATGTATTTTGGGGAACAAGTCAGAATGAGTAACATAGAATTTTCCCCTAGCTTGTTGTAGGTTTGGTGAATAAACAAACAAACACTTCATGAGATAGTATAAAGTATAGAGAACTTGGTTTGTCGACCCCCAATATGGAAAATGCTTTATTAATTGATTATCTTCTCTCTTTTGGGAATGTTACTTCGCCACGTTATAATAAGGGACCATTGGGGTTATGTTGTTATTTATCTAGTATTTTCTTTGTCTCCATTGAGTTTTGAACCTGAGACCTCAAATTTCTCAACCACTTCATTGACTACTATGCCACACCCTTGGGTGCTGGAATGTGAATAATCTTTCATGGTTATGATCCCAGAATTATTATTATCAGATAACCTTGTTTTGAACTAATAGCATTTGAGTATAAGTTCTATGTTGATGGTGAAAGTCGATAGATATTCGATGAAATTAGTCGAAGATCGGATTAAAAAAAAAAACGAGGCAATTAAGAGTCATCTTTGTAAGTCAAATGAGTAAGAAAGCATTGACTAGTCAATTATGTACTACTAGACTTTCTTCTGGTCAATCAATTTTGGTGTTTCAATATTTTTGAATGAGTTAAGGCTGAAAATAAAGAAATTTGACCGACTTTGAAATTCAAGAATTGAATTACAAATGACCACGTCTTTAAATGTTGTATTTATTTCCTAGCCAAAATCAGTGACCAGCATGACCTCGACGACTGTGAAATATGGAAGAGTTGAAACTCTAGATTATACCCACCCTACCCCCCTAAAGAAAAAAGGATTTAATCATGATAAATAAAATATAACATAATATAAATATTGAATGCAACTACATATTTTGGAAAAATTTAAACCAAAATAACAATAATTCTTTTTTTGCTTTTAGCTGAATTCTTTTTCTTGTAATCAAAATTAATAACTGTCTTGCTTTGTTTCTGGTATTGAACGTATATAAACGTCAATTCTCTATGCACTATAAACCAATTATAAATCTTCACGACCCATATTTAATAAATTAAGAATTTTTAACGATGGCTAAATTATTGTCCAAATTTGGATGGTCAACGGCTTTATTCAGGTTCATGTTACAATAGAATGCGTTTGGTACAAAAGAAAATGTTTTTAAGTGAATATTTTGTTTATTTTCTTTTGTTAGTACATAAAATAAAATATTATCCTAAAAGTATTTGTGAACCATCTAGAACAAATACCACTGTGGGGTGGGGTGGGTGGGTGGGGCGGGGGGCTACAGAGGAATCAATGTTAGAATGCCACTTGTGAAACTTATTTTTCCAACTTACACTCGAAAAGTAATTTTTCTCATTTTAAAAAAACTTGTTTTCCTAGAAAAAACAATTTCGATAAATGTCATATATATCAGACTTACCAAAGCTTATATAGGTAAAATAGTTTTCAAAAGATCACATCACCAATTACAACAACTTCAACTACATACCAAATGTAATCCTACGGGTGGGGTCTGGGGAGGATAGTGTGTAGCCTTGCCCCTAGTTTCGAAGGAGCGCATTAACAATCGACACACAAAATATAAACAAAGTGAACTGTCTTTTTAACGGGATAAAATTCAGAATCCTGATTTCAGTCTATACAATTAACCATAGAAGTTACATTCTTCAATACTAAAATAAGTTAAAAGTGGAAGAACCTTAGATCACTTTTACCAACGTTTGTAGTCTAGCGTTCTCCATACCATCAACAGGTCAAGTACCCGTACTACCAGGAAGATGAGCGGACCAACCATACTCGAAACATTTAACAGAGGAAACATAAGAAGAAGATAATAACAACTCTATTCCCGACCCAGCAACAATCATGTACTGTAGATGTTACAATGAACACTTACAGATACAGGGTACAGCCAGTGAGGAAAGAGAAACCAGGTCGTAGTTACTTTTTGCCACCACCAAGCAACCGCGATAATATTTGCAGAGGCATGGCATGAATCCAAGCTGAACCTGATATGATCAAGAAACTTCAATCCATATCAAGGAATTCCATCCTCTTTCTCATTGTACCTTTAAGATCTGTAGCCTCCCTTTCTGCTTTTTGGGCCTGATATCCACAATTAAACAGAATCAAACAGAAGTTGAAACGCAGATGATATCTCGATAATTCACTTAAAATCAGATATAAAATAAAAGGAAATAAAACAAACATTATTATACAACACTAATGTATAATTCATTATTATTCAAATAATAAGACTCATTTGTTTGCACTTAATTATCTTAATGTTGATCATTCAGATCTCAATCATCAAGTTTGTTTGTTTTTTAGGTCTAAATCTTAACTACTCATATCTTAATCCTTAACTGTCTGTTTTTACATTTTACAACTGTTATATGAGTTTTAATAGATCTGAATTATTAAGATTTATAACATCATAACTGTAGCCCAATCACTACAGCTAGTTGTCACCACTCACCACCTAAGCCATTATTTACAATCATCACCACTAATCAACAGTCACTTACCACCATCAGCCATCAACGTATATCGTCAATCACTGTCATTACTCATTATTCACCACCATCATTAGCTCACTATCGGTCACCACAATTATTATTGCCACCACCAACTACCTCTATTAATCTATCTGACAATCACCATCACCACTAGCTATTACCCATAACCACCACCATCACCCAACACAATCTCAATCGACAGCCACAACCACCACCACTAGTCATTACCACTACCAATTGTCATATAACTGTTAATACAACATATTATACTCACATGTACATTCAAATTCACTATCTAAATCTGAATGCACATATTAATATTCAGATGAGCAATTAGGTTTAGATATCTTAATCTTTTTTTTAATAAAGGTCGCCTTAATCTTTAAATGATACAAATGAGGCCCTAGTATATTCATGAGTTTCAAGAATAACATTTCATTATGGAATTCAAGCTTTAACTATATTCTATAGAAGTAGTAGCTTTTGGCCATTGGAGCTTGTATTTCAGTATTTTTGGGCAAAGATGGGTAATGCCTCAGAATCTGAGAGAGGCATATGTATGTGAGTTGGAGTTGCTGGAAAGTTGACACTTCTACTTTACAATAGGGTATATTCAAATATACTCTAAGAGTGAAACTCAGATTAGGAGTTAAACATGTCAACAAAAATTTAAACCAAGTTGCAAACAAATGATGGACCCATGGCATTCTCATGTTCCAACATGAACCTAATTACATATCTATATTAGTCAGATAAAGAGCAATGGGTTCATACCCTTCTTATCTCAGCTTCTGGGACACGAGTCATGTGGGGTGGAAGTTCCTCCTTATCTACATCCTTATCAATCAGAACAAAATCTATGAGCAAAAAAGTGCAGGTATACTAAGTAGAAAAAAAAAACTCATTTAAAAGAAAATATTGAGGAGAGAGAGAGAGAAAGATCAATGCATACCAACTCGCCAATTAACACGACATTTTCCCCTCGTATAATATAAAGACCTAATGGAATATCACAGTAGATTTCACCAACAATAACACGCTCACACGCACCTTCTAGAACAGCATTAGCTACAAATGGAAGATAACATTTCCTTTAGCTGGTTATTTATTGTTGTTAAGCTGAAGTCAGGACAAGAGAACCCTACCAAATTGGTCAAAAGAACGAAGCGTCCCCAAAAGCTTCCGCCCATCTCGCAGCAACACTAGAAGTTTCTCTGTGAAGGATATGCCAAGTTAAAATAAGAAAAAGAAAGAAATAGGGACTAGGGAGCTAACAACAGGATAAGTTGTGCTATAAAACTATGACAAGTTACCAAGTTCCAAAAAAAAAAACTATGACAACTTGTAGTTAGTTTTCTAAATGCATATAGTAATTTAAATTCCTCTACTCTTATGCTTTTATAAGCAGCTTTCTCCACAACATATCATACCCCCCAAAAGTTCTAAATTTAGATGCTAGCAACCCATTCAATAACAACTACGTCAAGGATGTAAGATAGCAAATTGATCAATTTACAGGAATATATCTGCCTATAGATCAGAGCTTGCAAGCAGACTATGCGTGATTAGTAGCTGAACAGAATATAAGAAAGCAGTGTGACAAAACCACTTCTATTGATGTAGATTTGAATGAGTTACTTCTAAATAGTATTGTGTCTGGATCACTGTTCTACTCACAGGGTATGCAAGTTTCTTGAAGCGGTGTTTGACATTTTACTAGGAAAAATGAAAAATATCAGAGGGAGAAGAAAGATGAAGAAAAAAGTTCACCAAGCTAGATCACTGAGATATAGCACTTGAGACGTCAATGCTTCATATAGGAAGTCTGGAGGCCACATATACCATCCACCTATTGAGGATATCCATTACTATCACTTCTCTACCCTTATCAAATGCTAGTCACCCTTGAAATTAACAGGATCATCATTCCTCCAGAACAGACAAATTCTAGGGTTGAACAGAAAAGAGTGAATAATTTTGAAGCTAAATCTTTATATCATTTATTTCAAAACAACACCTCACCCTCTCCGATAAAATAGTCTTAAGTTCTAACGATGGAACACTATACAAAATATATTGTACATTCAAGAGGGGACTCCAAGGTATCTCATCTCCCCATTTGATTTTCTTAAGCTAAAGAAAAAACTTCACTATTTCAACATCTTCCACGATATATTCTACATTCAAGAGGAGGAATCTCATCTCCTCTTTGATTTCTTAAGAGGAGGAAAATATTTATTCTTTCAACAACTTCCTGGTATTCTCTCCTTCCATTAAAGAAGGTACTTAGATCAAAATTCTATCATTAACTTATGAGCTAAGAAAATAGAAAGAGATAACAAATGTGTTATTTGAATTCAAGTAGATCAAACTACTCCAGTAAGGCTATTTCTTTTCGATAGACAATAAATAAACAGTTACTCAAACCAGCAAAATTCATTAAAAACCAAGCCTTTATGAGCTCATGTAGCCTCATCACATAATCTCAACGGAATTCTAATTCAGAAATTCTACTAGCACCAACAACTAACAGAACCCGCAATCAAAGATTGAAGAACCAGTGGCACAATTAAGTGAGAACATACACATTCTGAACATTACACCAAGATCCAATTTTTATTAACAAAAATGACTTAAAACATATTATTAGCATCAAACTTCAATCCTCTACAACCCTTCTGCTCTATTTGAACCAGTTCCACTCGAATTAGTATCAGGCAAAAAAAAAAAAACACCAAAAACACAATGTAGCATGAGAAGAGAAAGGAACTCACTATCAAGATAGCTAGCAAGAGAAGTAGAGAGATAAATATCTTCTGGACTTGCCCAAGACATTGATATGCTTATAAATTAGCTTTTCCGGTGTCCAAAATTAACCGAATTTTTTCCCGATTTCAATTCAAATTGCATTGGCAGCTCAAAATTACCTTCTTCTACACTAACAGGGCCCTCACTACTTCAGTGATAAACAAAAAATAAACCCTAATTCTCAGATCTGCAAATCCCTAACCCTAATTTCGGCCTATCCCCAAATAGGGGGGGAGGTACACTCTACTTATTTTGATTTCTGCTTTAAAAAAATATTCATTCACCCCCTTAAAATATGAGATAATGATCTAATTTACAAAATAATCGAAATATATGTTGGGGTTATATGTAATCACTAATTGACGTATAGATTTTAAATATTTATAATCGAGCGCTTAATAAAGTTTGGTAGATGGGTAAGAAATAAAAGGCTTATGAAATATTTTATATTTTCTATATCATTGTGACTTTTTATTATTGCTTTTTTTTTTGTTTGAGAAAAAAATTGGAATTCTTGTGACTTTTATATCAAATTAGGTGAGTTTTGTGTGAATAAATGATTTTTGATTCTGAACAAATATGCTATATTGACAACTAGTGAGGTGTAAGTGATAAATGTTTGAGATCAAAAAGCTAATCTTATAGTACATAGTTATTTTTAAAATGTTTATGTGATTACTGAAATAATTTCGTAATTATAGAATGAGAAATTTTTAGAACTAACAAACATTTGATCGTTAAGTCTTTTAGGTGCAATTTTAATATTAACAATTCATAGCTATTCTTTTAATTTGTTATCGCGTGTATCAAATGTATTTGTCGATTAAAATGATGACAAAAAGAAAATACAAATACAAAATAACTAAGTAAAAATAATTGTGCACAAAATATTTTTAATTAAGGTAATTGAAATAAATTAGTCTCTACGATATTTGTCTAGATCATAATCTTTTTAAATAAGGTTGATTGAGCTAAAATCACTCTCTATAGTATTAAAATCTTCCATAATGAAACATGAGTTTCATATGTGAGCACTGCAACACTTATGATATTCAAAATAAAGAGACGGATTTTCAAAAACAAAATCCAATTGTATATGTATATTGGTTAAATAATTGTATATTATACATATGTATTTGTATATTCTGGCGAATTATATATATACAAACGTGGTTAATTATACAAATTCGAAGTCGGCCCACGTAATTAATGTATAATGTTAGTCGCGAGTGATAATTATAACAAATTATAGCTATGATGAGTAATTAAGTAATATAAGTTTGCTTAACCGCGTAATTTTCCCATTTGATAAATATGTATTTGATTACCAATGCACAAATACAAATACATTCCTACAAAAATTAGACATCTTTCATACTATTAATCCATTAAAAACAATGTTATAGCCAAAAATAAAAGACTAGAAAAGATTATTCTTTTTAACTAAATATCTCATCGAAAAAATTAAAATCTCCCAAACGTACAAAACGCAGGATTCTTCCGTATTGCACAACATGTGTTGCATCAATTGTGAGTATATTATTAATACAACCATGGAAAAATAAGAAGTATCCTACCCAAAAAAACAAAAAAAAATCCCATTTATTTACCCATAGAGGTCTATCAAATTTCCAGAACAATAACTGCAAAAAAAAAAAAAAACAAAAAGAATTGTCAAATAGTGAGATTAATTAAGCTAAGAAAATAATTGTTTAAATTTAAAACTTAGTATATAAATTAAATTGAATTAAATTAAATAATACTCACAATCCGAATCGGTTTTGACCCATTTAGATCCATCACAAGTTTTGTCTCGTTTTTTATCTTCTACTTCTTCCTTTGGTGCACATCGGTCCTCTAAATATCTCTTTGTTGATATTCTAGACGCACTTTGAGGGATTATTTTCTTTGAAAGTATTGTCCTTAAAAGCTGCAACATAAATTTTTACGTTAGGCAAATTTTAAAAATTTAACCAAATACGATATTATTTGACTCATGATAACATATGAAATTATACGTAACTTAAATTTATTTACCTTCTCCATTCTCGATTCGGGAAATGTATCTCGCAAGTTAGGAGTAGGTGCGAAACCACTTGAGCAAACAAACATTTTCTTGAGGAGAAATGTAACGGATTTCATCCCATTTACTGTTTTTTTATTATTGGTTTTGCAAACATGGTCCTTGCATCTTCCAATAATTGCTCTAATAGTCCTATCAATTTCTTCCTCATCAAGATTTTCATAAATCTCCGAATTAGTACTGCTAAATCTGCTTGAAGTTCTTCGATCGACTTCCAAACTTGAGGGGCAATTTAGGAATCTGTCTAACGGGAGATTACCATCCTGTCGACCTTCGGCTGCTGCTAATTTAGCAGCAGCTGCGGGTTTTTTGGATAGTAATTTTGTTAATTCTTTTTGTAATTTGCCAACTTCTTCAGGTGTGAATTCCGCTAAATCTGGAGAGGAACTTTCCTCGTTGTAATAATTCACGTCCTCTGAGATTTCATTATCATTATCGTTATCGTTATCATTTTGATTTTTTGGTTTTAGAGAACTGCTGCTAGCACCAAAAGTTCCAATAGCTAATAATGAATCAGGCCAACCGTTGAATTCTTCATTTCGAGGTTCTTTACTTGGCTGATCTGTAATGTATATATATAAATAGAGTTAGAAATAAATTAAACAATTTTCCACTTAAAAGGCAACTTTTGAATCGAGCAGATTCATTATTTGAAGTTTATGATTTAACATGTCATTGAACGATCTACTGATTGTTTGAGATTACTGAATTTGAAATTTAATAGCTTTTTAAACAGGTATATAATGTTTGAGTCAAAATCTAATGAATACGACCAAGCTCCTAGGTTTAATTGTGTATATGCTCCTACTTTAATTAAAGAGGGTATTTAGAATTTAGAAAATGGATTCAACTTTTAGGTTCTCCTAATTACTGAACTCTTTACATTTATAAAATTACGATTTTTGAGTATTATATATGTATTTGTTGAAATTTTCATATATATACATATGGTATGTGTTAAAAATATTGGTTCAGTTGAATCCGTTGATTATATTATGTATATACTTCAACCGCTTCTTGACTTGAGTCTTGAAGGAACCTTGATATGTTGCATGGAGACACTCCAGCATGTTCTCAGATTTCGAAATTTATTGTCTTGTAGATGGGAATATATATGATTAAATCAGCTTGCTAGTGTTTTGAATATATATATATATGAACAAACCACCTCCATGATAGCTAGCTGGTCGGGTCATCGTTTGATTTTAGTAAAATCATGAGTCAGAAATTTTACGAAGGATGTCCAGGATTACTTTGGACAAATGAGAAAAGTAAAATAAAAGAGCCGATGCTAGTGAGATTTAAACATACAAACACTTTAAATTTTAAGTGTCTTGGCTCTTTCAAACACACAATCACTTTAAGTTTACCTGTCTTGGCTCTTTCAAGGTGCTTGAAACCAATGGGCTACAACATATTGTTGTGTCAAGGGTGTCCAAAATATATTGTTTAACCACTTTGTTTATGAGTATTTTATTTTATATATACGAATAGTTTTCTGACGAAGAGTGTCCAATTGGAAACTCTGACAAAAAGTATAGCTACGCCCCGGTATTTACTTTCAACAAGACATATATATATATATTATAGCTTAATTGTCGCAAAATATATGTTTTACTAGCTCTCTTCGTAAATGCTACTAAAGCTTATAGCGATATTGGATCTAATGACAGTAAATATTTGAGTACTCTTATTAATGTACATATTTATCAACGCTAAAAACTGTTTTTTATCATAGTCATAGCATGCATGTCAGCTTTAGATCCATAGGAAGAACAACAACTACAAAGGGAAGGGGAAAGAAAAACTTACTTTTGGTTTGAACTTTGTTCCCTTGTCCACCATTGAACTTATTTTGCATCCAGCTAAACAACTGCATGAAACCCCAAAACAACAACCAAATTATAAACAAAACCTCCAAAACACATAACATTAATTACCATAATTAAAAAAATATATATGCTAACTTAATTATACCAACCTTCATATTTGAAGAAATTAAACCACTTTGTAGACAAATACAAATTGTGTAATAAAAAGAGATGTAGAGCGTGTATGGCAGATCCTAGAAGCAATAAGAAGTGAGGTTTTGCTAGTAATACATACAGTAATAAATAAAGATGGTCATGAGAATGTTGATTAATTATATAGTATGGTTCAAGTTCCTAAATTTGTCTACCACCCAAGTTGATAGTAGAAAAAATGTCTATGTTCATCAATTTAAAGGTGTAAAAAGTATGTACACAGTACCAACTAGGCTAATTTGTATAATTATATGGACAAAAATGGAACAACGCATTTTAGTACAAAGATAGACACATGGGAGAGTGTGTTTAACCAAAATATATTGAAAAAGATAAGTCTAGAAATGCATCAATCCATGACATATATTCAACATTAATCCTAATCTTGTGGCATCCTTTTAGGCATAAATTTTAAGCAATTCTTTTTAACTATAGTATTAATTTCAAAGAAACCATTAGCTATATCCAAAGGTTAATAACATGAGTAGTTAATTAATTAAATCACATAAATAAAGTCAAAATTCTAGTACCTATGTCTAGAATTTTCTTTTCTTGATTGTGTTGAGACTTGAGAGAGTCAAACTTTATGTGCTTAAGATTGAGTAATTAAGCAATAGACAAGATCTTATCTAGCTAATCAAAATTGTTAAAATGTGTCGACGGAATGGAATGTTCTACTATATTTATAATTTTTGAGTTTTAATTAAGTACTCCATGTACATTTTTCTTACATAAAATTTCTTCTTTGGCAATTTGCTTATATTCAATAATCATATTGCACCTAATTTGTAAAACACACATTCACGGAGGTTTGGAGTATTATTAACGTAGATGCATGAAGTATTTTGTTTGTTTCTCACCCGGTGTTCGATGTCCACATTGGAGCCCGACTAAATCTGGATTTGCGCCAGGACGTCCCACATTGGGGGTAAAGCGCTCTCACCCGGTGTTCGATGTCCACATTGGAGCCCGACTAAATCTGGATTTGCGCCAGGACGTCCCACATTGGGGGTAAAACGCTCCCTAACAAAGGCGACTTCGTACCCAATGGGGCTCGAACCCAAGACCTCAATGGTTAATGATGAAGGAGTATTTATCACTCCACCACAACCCTTGTTGGTGCATGAAGTGTA